CATAGCGTATGAGGTGACTTTGCTTCGCATCTCCTAAGTTTGTAGCAGATGATCGTAGGCGAGCCTTTCGTTGGTCAGATCAAGGCGTGTCTTTGTCATTGGTGTATCATACGCGTACATTGTATTTCTGTAAAAAGAAATATTTATTCGCAATCCGAATGTTTAAATGCTACTCAGAATAAAACTATGTAACGCTAACTTTTTATTATATTTAGATATTTCGATTTATGATAAAAAAGAAAAGCTCATATACCTATGTAGTTAATGCTCAGCACAGGATTGGACTATCAAAAGTTTCGCGAACCACTTGAGCTCACAGCTCATGTTTTCGAAAAATGGAGCATCTTTTGCTGGAGCAAGTGCGTGAAGAAAACCCACTGTCTTTTGAGTCAAGCGAGCTACGATCGAGCACATCATCAACTTTGCCGCATCAGTGCCGAAAAATCTGGACCGATTCCAGTAACGGAAAATGCTGCTGCAGCGCATTGAGTTCTCGGCATCTTTGGAAGTTCTTGTCAGATAGTTCTGATTTGAGGGAATTCAGGGCATTCCGGTGCTGTCCAGTTTGGGCCGAGTGTCCTCAGAGTCCGGGTCGGGTAGATGTTCGTTATGTTCTGGACCCCTCCCTCTCTGGGCCTCTCATAAACCCGGCCACTGGAATGCCACTGGAATTGCAATGTGATATGATATTATATGTGTCATGTCTCTTAGATGTGAAGTCTGTGCATCGTGATGGGGACGAAACTATGTTTATCCCTTATCCTGGAGTGTGCATAAGTCACCGATTGTGTAAAAAAAAACACCATTGACTGCCACAAAGTTCAGTACCAGAGAGTTCGCATCGCGTTTCCAGTGTTCCCTCTTCTGTATTTAACTGCAAGGGCCAAGCTGGCTAATTAATTTAACCAGCATGCTATCTCTGCTAACAATATTCGCCACGGAAGCTCATGGCCCGGTGGTAGCCTGTGGTCGTTTCCGTATTCAATTAACCAGAGCCGTTTGTCTTACCTATAGTTCAAAACTACCGCCATGATTCTCGGTGATCCTCTGCCACGCCCATTTAATTACCATGTGCGCTATGTGGTAAATGTATTGTGATATCCCGCAATTTAGCTGTATGGGCTGGGCTTATGCGGCGTCTACCGTAGAGGCGATTTATTCTGGACATTCAGGATGCTCCTGATGGAGATAACTTCCAAGGCATGTCCCATCATCCCCAATGCAGGACGTTTATTCCGAGCGTGTTCATTACTTCTGCAGGCAGCAAGGTGAATTTAAACGAAATCGTACTGGGAGTCCTTAGTTTTCTTAGGCGCATACACATACATTTCATAAAAATAGGCCTGAACACTTTTAATTGAAACACGAAACTTAGCTTACCGTTTCATCGATCTTGAAATTTGAGGGAAGTTAAATGGCCACTGCTGTTTATTTTAATTGTTTATTGCAACAACTCGTGATAAGAGTGACAATAAAGATCAGCCGCATGCTGCTGGTGCTCCTATCTCTTCTTTTGAATTGATTGTAGACATAAAAACTTGCTAAGGGGCCAATATAATTATGAAATGAAAATGAAATTGCTACTGAATCTTTTACTGTGGCTATCACCACATAGTTAAGCACCGTCTCTATTACGACTTAATTAATTTGGCTGACTCGTGGTGCCAAATGCACACGAGTTGTCACTAGCCGACAGTCTGAAAATTTATGCTCACGTAACTGCTGAACCTTTGTCAGGAACAATTTGATCAGAGTGGTTTGTTAGCTCTCAGTTTGGTGAATGAAATGGTATGAGATATTTAGTATTTAAGTGCTCCTCGACTGGGAGTTAGGAGGCTGCAGAGCACTAATAAAAGATATATTTCATTTTGGCATAGACATGCAATGAAAATTGGTCTTTTTGATTTCTGACAGTTGTTCGATGCGTATTGATGATCTTTAAGGCAAAAAATCGGTAAAAACTCAATGAGGAGCGGATAAACAAGAAGAGCAGATACGATCTTATCATCGTGCTCTTTCTAGTAGATTATTAATCACTTATCAAGGAAAACCGGAACTATGAAAGGCGTTTGAGCAGCGTTCCAGATAATATTCAGGTGATAACTTGAGTAACGCTAGTCTACCTTTAGTTCTTTAGTCAGGTACGGCTCTCCAGTAAAAGTCTTGTTGGTTTTGCTTTTTCGGACATATCTGGTCCTATATAATGTTTAAATGCATAAGTATCGACCCGGATTATGTGTATGCACATTTACCACGAGACTGTGAAATTTCATCGATGTATGCCAAATACTTTCCGAGATATCCACCAAAAACCTCATTTTCTGCCGTTTAGGGTATTCTGGCCGCAATCTTCCTGGGATCGCCTATGACATCCATGGTGCCACCTAGCGAGAGGGACGCGGAAACACAGAATCATGAATGAATCGAGCGCGTAGTAAACGGTGTATGGAAGAGAGACTCGGCAGAGGCTATCCGGGTGGCCGGCGCGCGGCGCGCCCTTAGGCATCGGCCGACCCTTCGGACGGCGTGGGGTCAGAGGTCGCGCTCGGAAAGTCTCGGCTCTGGGT